TTAGCCGGGCATGGTGGTGGGCGCCTGTAGTCCCAGCTACTCAGGAGGCCGAGGTAGGAGAATCGCTTGAACCCGGGAGGCGGACATTGCAGTGAACTAAGATTGTGCCACTTCCCTCCAGCCTGGGCAACAGAGCGAGACTCTGTCTCAAAAAAAAAAAGTGGATGGGGGAGGGCAATTCTGAGCAGAATGAAGCAGTACAGTGTTGATGGGGGGACCTCAGCTATTTTATTTTTTTGAGACAGAGTCTCTACTAAACAGACACAAATTAGCTGGGTGTGGTGGCGGGTACCTGTAATCCCAGCTACTCGGGAGACTGAGGCAGGAGAACTGCCTGAACCCAGGAGGTGGAGGTTGCAGTGAGCCGAGGTTGCTCCATTGCACTCCAGCCTGGGCAACAAGAGCGAAACTTGTCTCAAAAAAAAAAAAAAAAAAAAAATCACTCTATGTTGTGTCTTGTTTTTGCGACTCAGAGTACAAACACTCAGAATCACTGCATGTTGAAAGAGGCAGTCAAAAACTATTTTTGATATGAACAAATCAAGAACTTTATATTTCAATCAAATAATTAAGTATTCATTAGGTACCTTATATAGGACTACAAAAGGAAGACACCTCTGCTCACAAGAAGCTAATTTTGCCTCAATATTCTGAGAGTCTTCATAATGTGCTACATTTTATAATGTGTTTTCACTTGTTCCTCACAACAGTCCAGTTATTATCCTTTTGTACAAGCAATGACACGGAAGCTCAGAACAGTTCTATAACTTTTCCAAAAAGTCCCATCTAGACCTCAAACAAAATCTCACTTCAAAGTCTGTACCCTCCCCATTATGCTCTGATGACTCAGGAGAGTGCCAAAGGATTATCATCAAATATCAAAATATACAATATTAAGTGGCCAGAAAGGAGATAGTTGTTGGACAAGAATAAGGAAAGGCTTTAAACAGAGGTGAGATTTGGTACTAAAGACACCTAGAATCAGAATGGCCAGGCATCCTGGAGAATAGGTTAACGATGAGGAAAAGAATACTTGTGTTGCAGGGGATGTCCAGGGATCTAGCCTGGTTGGAGCAATGGCACAAGAGAGACGAGACCCACTAGGGTCCTGGGTGCAGGGAGACTTAAGTTTGATTTTAGTTCTGAACGCCTCATGGAAAGCCACTGTAGGTTTTTCATTTCTCATTCTGTTGCCCAGGATGGAGTACAGTGTTGTACTCCATCCAGTATTGATCCCAGCTCATTGCAGCCTTGAACTCCTGGGATCAAATGATCCTCCTGCCTCCCAGGTAGCTAGGACTGCAGACACACCACCACACCTAGCTAATTATTTTTTGTAAAGGGGTGGTCTCTCTCTGTTTCCCAGGCTGGTTTCGAACTCTTGGCCTACAGTGATCCTCCCACCTCAGCCTCCAAAAGTACTGGGATCACATGAGAGAGCCATTGTGTGTAGCTGACCACTGAGGGGTTTCAAAGAATGGAAGTGGCACTGCTGTACTAAATGACTAGAGGCCCCAGTCATGTGGCCCAGAACTGAGGTTAACTGGGCTTAGAAAGTAATAACTGAGACAGGACAAACCTAAAAAAAAAAAATCCAAAAACCTTTTGAATGAAAAATCAATGGTTGTCCCAATTGTGGCCGAAAATGGCCTGGTATTCAAGTGAGGGGTTTTAGGGCTATGGATTCATCAGCATGCAGAGATGACAACTGAAGTGAGGCACAGTAAGGTGAGGGCTCATGAGTGAGCCACAGAAGATGCTGAAAATACTTGTGATACATGGAATTTATCTTCCTTTTGTGATGAACACACACGTAAGTGGCACGGATATTTTGCTGAAATGGAGCTTGCTGGTTTCCTCTCTAGCTCTTCCCCATAAAACAAATAAGCTATGATTTTTTTAAGTGAAGTGCCACTTTTATATCAACTACCTGATAGCTCCACCTAGATGTTTCCTAGACATCTTAGATATTACATTTCCAAAAAATTTTTTTCCTTTCAAAACCCACTCCTCTTCATCCTACTAAATGGCATCGCCATTCATTCAGTTGCTAAGGCCTTTAAAAAATCTTGGAATGTAGACCAGTGGTCCCCAACCTTTATGGCACCAGGGACCGGCTCTGTGGAAGACAATTTTTTCATGGACTGGGTGGGGCAACGATGGTTTCAGGATGAAACTTCCACCTCAGATCATCAGGCATTAGTTAGATTCTTATAAGGAGCACACAACCTAGATCCCTTGCATGTGTAGTTCACAACAGGTTTCATGCTCCTATGAGAATCTCATGCCACTGCTGATCTGACCAGAGGCGGAGCTCAGGTGTAACGCTCGCCTGCCCACCACTCACCTCCTACTGTGCAGCCTGCTTCCTATCAGGCCACAGACCAGTACCAGCCCAGGGGTTGGGGGCCCCTAATCACCCCACAACCAATCCATCAGCAACTCCTGCTAACTACGTTCAGCTAAATTCTCCCCACCTCTTCTGCTTGCCTGGTCCAAGCCAGTATCATTTCATGCCTAGATAGAGCAACAGCCTATTAGTCTTCCTAGTTCCACACAGCAACCTTTTAAAACTTTTAAAATTTATGTCAGATCATAATACTTCTGTGTTAAAAATCCTCTGTGACGGCCAGGTGCGGTGGCTCAGGCCTGTAATTCCAGCACCTTGGGAGGCCGAGGCGTGTGGATCGTCTACGGTCAGGGGTTGGTGACCAGCCTGGCCAACATGGTGAAACCCCGTTTCTACTAAAAATACAAAAATTAGCCGGGTCTGGTGGCAAACCCCTGTAATCCCAGCTACCCGGGAGGCTGAGGCATGAGAATCGCCTGAACCTGGGAGGCGGAGGTTGCAGTGAGCCTAGATTGTGCCATTGCACTCCAGCCTGGCAACAGAGTGAGACTCTGTCTTAAAAAAAAAAAATTCCTCTGCGGCTTCTTTTTCAGAAAGCCCAAAGCCTTACAACAATGGCCCACAAAATACAAAGTACACAATCTGATTATCAGTTAACTCTCTGGCTTCATCTATTACTGTCTCCCCGATTCCACTCCAGCCACATTAGCCTCCCTGCTCCTCAGACATACCAGGCATAGTTCTGCTTCTAGGTCTTTGTCCTGAGTTCCTTCTGCCTGGCAAGCTCCTCCCCGCACCAGACAGTATAATGGCTCTTTCAGAACATTCAGATCTCTACTGCACCTTATCAGAGTAGCCTGACCACCTTTATCTAAAACAAAACGACCCCCTCCCAGAATTGCCTATTTACTTACCTCACTTGTTTTGTTTTTGAGAAAAGGTCTTGCCATGTCGCCCAGGCTGGGAGCAGTGGTGAGATCATAGCTCACTGCAGCCTCAAACTCCTGGGCTCAAGCGATCTTCCTGCCTCAGCCTCCTGAGTAGTTGCGACTACAGGTGTGAGCCGCCACACCTGGCTAATTTTTTTCTTTTTTGTTGAGACAGAGTCTCCCTATTTTGCCCAGGCTGGTCTCAAACTCCTGAGTTCAAGCCATCCTCCCACATCGGTCTCCCAAAGCCCTGGGCATCAGCCACTGTGCCTGGCCCTGTTTTCTTCCTACCATTTATCACTAGCTGATATTTTATATTTGTTTATTTTCTCTTTCATCTCCACAAAGCATTTTGTGAGAGCAAGAATTTTTTGTTCATGCTTACATTCTCAGTGCCTTGCACATAAAAGTTGCTCAATAAATTTCTGTGAATCAAAGACCACTTTGTTGATAGACTGTAATATTCTCTTATTTCTCTCTACTCGCTTTATACAATCTGATGGGCTGTTCCTACCAAATGAGACAATCAAAATGAGAATATTAATACATCTGCTCAACTGTGAAAAGATGCTGGTACTGTGGGGGAAGGGATGGGAGCACTGGGTAAAACTATGGTAGCTTGTCTAATGCTTCATTGCCCACTTGAGACTTCAAGACGACACGGTACACTAGATAAGAATCACTGCACACGACAGTACCTGTGCAATAGGAACCGCACACAGGGTTACTCCAAAGCCAACCGTCACAGTTTTGTGCCATGGTCTTATCAATTCTGAGAAACACCGCTTCTTAAAGTTAGCCACAACAGGAACACACAAACACTGTCTGTACCTGGAAGTAGAAGTCAGATTTCATAAGGCACGACCGCCAATCTGTAACAGGCTCTTGGATTTACTTGCAGGGGCTGTAAACTCAAACTCGAGCCAAGCAGGAACCTAAATGAGGATGCAGGACAGCTGAGGGGTTTTGAAATTTTCAACATACAGCAAGTTTAAAATGTTGCCTCAGGTAGGGTGTGGTGGCTCACGCCTGTGATTCTAGCACTTGGAAGGCCAAGGGCAAGGCGGGAGGATCACTTGAGCCCTGAAGTTCACGACCAGCCTGGGCAACATGGCTGGCAACATGACCTGGTGTCTATTTAATAAGAAAAAAAAAAAAAAAAGAAGGCCGGGCGCGGTGGCTCACGCCTGTAATCCCAACACTCTGGGAGGCCGAGGCGGGTGGATCACTTGACGTCAGGAGTTCGAAACCAGCCTGGCCAACATGGTGAAACCCCGTCTCTACTAAAAATACAAAAATTAGCTGGGTGTGGTGGCACAGTCCTGTAATCCCAGCTTACTCGGGCGGCTGAGGCAGGACAATCGCTTGAATCTGGGAGGCAGACGCCGCAGTGAGCCGAGAGCGCCCCACTGCACTCCAGCCTGGGCAATAGAGCGAGACTCAGTCTCAAACAAAACAAAACAAAATTAGCCGGGCGTGGCGGCAGGCGCCTGTAATCCCAGCTACTCGAGAGGCTGAGGGTGAGAATTGCTTGAACCCGGGAGATCTCGCCACTGCACTCCAGCCTGGGCGAGGGAGCCAGATCCTGTCTAAAATAAAATTGAAATAAAATAAAATAAAATAAAAAAATAAAATGTTGCCTTAAAACATTTTAGAAACGGATGCCACAATAACCGCTCCTGCAGGCAGGATTTAGCTCTGGACCCCTGGCCTGGGTGTCAGGTGTGTGTGACGGTCCCGCTACAATCGCCCAAAAGCCTGCAGGGCTAGGAAGGGAGCCCCGCGCCGAGGTCCCCCGCGCCTGCTCCCCGGGCCCCTTCTGCCTTCGGGAAGACGTCCTCAGACGCTTCCCTCCCTTCCCAGGCTCCCCCATGCCGTGTCCCTCCTCCTCTCCACGTCTTTTTAGGGATTTCGAGGGGCTGACGCGAGCTGGTCGGGAGGCGGAGTCGCCCCAAGAAGGCAGCCTGGGGTCTAGGGGATTCGTTTCTAGAAAATGGACGAACTGAAAACGAAGCCGGCTTGACCCAAGGGGCGGAGGCGGGACTGTCGTCAGTCCTCCCGAGCGGGGCGAGACGCCGCTACCCAGCTGGGCCGACGAGGGACGTGCGCGTAAGAAAAGCGGGCGCCGCGGGCTGGGTCACAGCGCTGTCCGCGTCGGTCCCTCCCTCTGGTCCTGTCCCCTCTACGCGGCGGTAGCGGTACCTGAAGAGTGAGGGTACACTGCGCGACAGCCAACTCTTCAGAGCCGCCATCGTACAGCGGGCGGACGCCGGGCGCACACGCCGGAAGTGACGCAGCTTCGTGAGCGCGGGGTCGGGCACGGCCTCCACCAGAGAGCGCCTCACCCCATGGCCACGCCCCCACCCAAGGAAGCAGTCGGGATTGGGCAGACAGGGGGAAAGGGGGCGAGGCTTAGGGCAACGGCTGTAACGGCCGCGCAAGGCAACCAACCGCTGAAACTTCCGCGTGGCGGGGGGCATACGCAGAGCCTGAGGGCGCGGAGCTGAGTCGGACACCGTGACGCTACGGGTGGGCGGGGACTCAACTCCGGCCAGGGCTTGACGGGAATTCCCTAGTGAGTTGGGGAGGCGGGGCCGGGCG